TTGAGGCAATAACAACTCTCAAAATTTTTAACAATATTATAAATTTACTGTACACAAGGAATTGGTCTTCCCTCAAAAAACACAGAAAATAAATCTACACACTGTTGCGCAGAATTGCCACTATAAAACCATTTTATTATTTGAGCTTTTTCCGCGGCCATATAAACAGACATGTTTACAAAAATAAATTAAAACTCTACGCTGTTATTCCTTTAAATAACCACGGTATAATGACAATATGACAAATTTGCCGACGACGCGCAGTGTTGCCATTTATAGAGTGTATACCTAATCCAAAACTTAACACACTGTATATAGGCAGAAGATCAGATGATCAGATAGGTAAAATCAAATATGCCATCAAAAATTCTTTTACACTCTATAACTGGAAGAGGATAACTTGAAGAAGAGGAAGAGGAAGAAGTATTGGCAAATTTATTCAACACGGTGTACCATACGGGAATATTACCAGAAGTCAGCGTTTATAACCATCCGTAAAAAACAAGCAGCAAAAGAGTGCTCTAACTATCCGTACTGCTGCTTTAAGAGCCAAGTTCCTTCGTAAATATATGGAAAATCTTAATAGTATGCATCCCAGAGATATTTTTATTTTTTGGACGAAACGTGGATTTCGTAAGTGTACGTAAACCAGACGGGTACGATAATAAACGTTTTATAATTGTTCACGCTGGTTCTTGAAAGGACTTGTTGCTAAAGCAAGTTTATTATTTTGTTCAAAATTTAAAAAACCTGATTGTTACGGGGAAATAAACAATTAAATTTTCTCTAAATGGATCAGTGAACAATGAATTCGCTATTGATGCCATGGATGGATCCATATCACAGTGTTCTTTTAGAAAAGCAACCTTCCACTGTTTCAACTGGTTACTACTGGTTAGAATGGTAATTACTACCTGGTTGCCAAAAAACAAGATAAGTATGACGCAAAACTCACAAAACCTGAATTATTACTAATTACACGAATCCAACTGCGAATCCAACGCTATTAAATTATTTGGGCAAACTACAAATCATATTACAATAAGTATATCTATTGGTAGAGATGTGTACTCTGATAGTACTATTATAAATATGTGGAAAGACTAAACTACACTAAACCAATGTAACACTCAATTATATTAATTTAAAATTTAAAAAAAATGTATACACAAGTTCTTCTCTATCATCTTTTGGTCTATATTCAATCCTCTGTGTACGACAGAAAAGTCATGAATGTGGTTGAACTTCTATCCAAGTACATCTGAAGTATTATAATCTACAACCAATTCACTCAAAGCTATTAGAAAGGAAATATACATTGCCTACTTCTAAGCGTATCCGAACGATACCATTTTTCTATATTTGATGAACTGCTCCATGTTTAATTTTATTAACCTACTAATAAATCATGCACAAGAACTTTGTCTAAAACTACATAATTATTCGAGCAATGAATGAATGCTGCTTGTAACTTACAAATTTTAAAAATACGGAACTAAAATGATGGATTCCAAATGTATGGTTTTCTCGGTGCTTGTGGAGATTTATTATGATCGCCCTGAAGAAAATGAGTGGTATGATGTACTGAATTTGTATACTTTCAGTAAATGTGATAGTTAAAATATAACATAAATAATAACAAAACAAATATCAGTGCACGTCACAAATTTCTTTAAATTATTCCCCTTAGAAAATTACTTTCACGCCGCCTATGGTATATATTTTGCTAGAAGCCTTAAAAATAACCCAAAAGCAACGAGCGATTTGTCATGCCTTTTTCTCAACAACGAAATAGTTCGCCAAATGTTCCCTGCTCTTTTAATCTTTCATTTGTTAAATAGAAACCCCTTCCTCTTAACAAAGAATTTAGTTTCTATTGTCGAGCACCCAGTCTACTTTCTACGAAAAGCAGAGATGTTGGTTTTCTACGAAATAATCTTTTAAAATGATAATCGACGCGGTTCAACCCGGAAGACTGTTAAGTTTAATAGTAATTCCTGCACTAGTATTAATCTTAGCTCTAGGTTTAATTGTACGAACATATCAAAATGTTGTGAGTTTAAATGCATTGTGTAAACATGTATTCAATGCTCTCAGTTTGGAGTTCTCTAATATCATTAGAATTATTCAGAAGCGCGGCCAATCAAATTAAAATAGCGATGATGATTTCCAACCTCCGATAGCAGAAAGAACCTGAAGAAGATCAATTATTAATGCTAAAATTGTCACTCTCTCTGGTTAAATTCCTAGACTGACCGGGTCACAATCAATCACTGTCATGTTATCAACTGTTTATTTGGTTATTTTTTCTCCAACATTTAGTTTTAACACGCAAGACGATTAACTTTATTACCGAGTTCTATATCTCCGTTAATAGTTGATATAGAGAAAAAAGTTGTATGCAAAAATTGTAGATACTGCGTAGCTTCATGTTTCAAAATTATTTAAAAAATAATATACAGTGTTCCATTAAAATAAAAACATCAACTTTAATGGTTTCGAACTATATGGGGCATCCTGTATCTTCTTCAAGTGCCATCTCCGCGGCGAAGGTCGGCAATCATCATAGCTATTCGGACTTTTGAGACGGCTGCTCTGAAAAGTTCATTTGATGTACATCCGTACCATTCTTTCAGGTTGCGCAGCCATGACATTCTACGCCTCCCTATGCTTCTCTTTCCTTGGATCTTTCCCTGCAGAATCAGTTGGAGCGAGGTATCTTACTTACTTACTTACTCCGTGGCGTTACAACCCTTCGTGGGTTTTAGCCGACTCGACAACATGCCTCCACTGTTTTCTGTCTTGAGCAACCTCCATCCAATTCTCCACGCCCATAGTGCTTAGGTCTCCTGCTATATTATCTCGCCACCGGAGACGAGGGCGTCCGCGTGGTCTCCTTCCAGTTGGGACTTCTTCCCACACCAGTCTTACTGTTAGTTCGTCAGAATGTCTTCTGAGGTGTCCTGCCCATTGGAGTCTTCTGGACTTTATTTCTTTTATGATGTTGGTGTCTGGGTAAAGTTCTTCAAGCTCTTTATTAGTTCTTATCCTATATTGTCCTGATGCTTCATCAAGCACCGGACCAAAGATCTTCCTTAGGATTTTTCTCTCCCAAACACGTAGTCTCTCTTCATTTGCCTTTGTTATCGTCCACGTTTCGCTTCCATACATCACAACGGGTCGTATGATTGTTTTATAGACCTGTATCTTCGTACGTCGTGTTAGTTGTTTTGATTTTATAAGGTTTTGGAGGGCAAAAATACATCTGCTGCCGGCCTGAATCCTGTTGTTTATTTCTTGTGATCCGTTATTGTCTTCAGTTATTGTTGTTCCAAGATACTTGAATTCTCTAACGCGCTAAAAGTTAAAGTCATCGATGGTAATGCTCTTACCGATTCTGTCTCTGCTTTGGTTATTGCGGCTCATATACATATATTTCGTCTTGTTTTCGTTGATTTGGAGCCCCATCTTCTCTGCTTCCTTCTCAAACCTTACGAAAGTCTCCTTCATCCTTAATCGCGTGTTTCCTATTAGATCTATATCGTCTGCAAATGCCAGTAGTAAGTTTGGTCCTTCTCGATGAAATACTGTATTCGGTTTTTCGATTCTTGCACTACTGATTATGTGCTCCAGAGCTAAGTTGAAGAGTTGTGGTGAAAGTGCATTTCCTTTTAGTCCATTGTTTATTTCAAATGTCTCCGAGTATTGTTGTCCAACTCTCACCTTACATCGTAACCGTTCCATACACATCCGTATCAACCGGACTAGTTTTTTTGGAAAGCCAAGTTCCTGCATCGCTGTCCACAGTCTGTCCCTACATACTCTATTAAATGCTTGTTTAAAATCTATGAACATCTGATGAAGCTCACGATCAAACTCCCAGCATTTTTCCATTATCTGTTTTATTGTGAATATCTGGTCAATTGTAGAGCGGCCCGGTCTAAATCCGCATTGATAATCTCCAACGATTTCTTCTGTGTATGTTTTGGTTCTTTCTAGCAGGATGTTTGCAAGGATTTTGTAGGTGGTGTTTGGGAGTGTTATTCCCCTGTAGTTAATACATTGCTTTTTGTTTCCTTTAAGCAGTTTCCGTTAATACCAGCAAGGTATCTGTATAGTTGGAAATAATTTTAAAAGGCGAAGCTGTACTGTATCTCGCCTGATAGAGAAAGTATTTACCCCCGCAGTATAAGTGGATCAATATATACATGAAAATCCTTTATTACGGAATAGATCACAAATAAATATAAAATAACCAGGAAATATGAAGTGCAACAATATTTGTTTTGCGCTTAATGTACAGTATGACCAGCTTATTGGCATTTGTTTATCGCATTTGTCTTGATAGATGAATAATGACATCGACAAATATAGATAAGCTGAGCAAATCATATACAATATAAATAAATTTAAATTTTATCAATTCACATAAATAAAATTAAAAGGTTTCTTCAATATAAATTATCACAATCATCATCATCAATGACGTTACAACTCGTTATGAGTAAAAGCTTTGGTCTTCATCACCTTTATCTGCCTTTCTCGCTCATTGTAGAGCCATCCTTATCTTTACAGGCTATTATTATGGATTTGAAGTATTTTGTGTTGTTTTTTCTATTGTGGTGGTTAACTATCTCATTCAGAATGTTTTCGTATTGCTCTTTGTACTTTTTTCTGAAAATCCTCATCTCTCGTCGCCAGATTTTCATACTCTTCCATGGTTAACCGTGTTCTACGATGCTGAAAATTCTTATATGCTTTGCTTTTCTGCTGATTTATGGCTCCACAGTCTTCGTCGAGCTAATTCTCATTCTAGCCTTGTTAGATATTAACACACTTTTAGCCGCTGGGTGCATTGCTTCTTTGAATTTAGTCCAGTGTTCTTTTAAAGATAGGTTTCCACTGATTCTTGGTAGCTCTTCATTTAAAATTTTCATTGATTTATTGAGAAAATTAAAAAAAAATACTAAATCTATAAACTTTACAGCAATAATATTTACCTGGCGTATTGATATTCCTGAATCTACTGGGAAAGATGGAGTTCCAATTGAGCTCAACGCGGATCCTCGTGATACTGTCAAAGCCGTTGGCAGAGGCTGATCTTTAATTGTTTTGGACGAACTAGTCGATGGCATACCCATATCTAAGGGATATTTTTGGCTTATAGTCGGAGGAGTTTTGGGAAAATTAAACATTCCAGCTGAAAATAAGGTGTTTAACGTCAGTCAACAACAGTAATTAGAGAAATGTTTTTACATTATGAAAGTATGATAAAAACATATTTTGGGTTAATTTAGGTTAAGTTGGATTTTTGAAAGGAATAGAGGATGGTGTATTACCTCTGAGAGACAATTGCTGAGAAGTACAGTTTATGCGGAATAAATAAAAAATTAGGGGTCGCTGATTACGATACAAAAACATTCTTCCGATAGAAAGTAATAAGTGCGTGGAATCCGGAGTGGACGTGTTCCAGTTCCATGCCAAGGCAGCTAAAAGTAATGTATATCCGTGGCTACCCAAGACCAAGTGTAAAAATCTACAGGAAGTCTATACACGTTTAACATTAATGTATAGTATTTTATTGTCGACGCACACTGTCCCACATTTTTTTTTCAAGTTCAACTTCAGAAATGTTCAGGTTGTGATACAACATATATTATTTTTTAATTGTCTGTCTAAAACACTCCAGAGAAAGGCTTATAATATAACAAATAATTTAAAAGAACTATTTCCAACTTTTCCGTTCATACCTAATTTTGACAATATATTGAGCAGTTGTACATAAGACCTTCTTCTTAGAGTGCCGTCTCCCTACGGAGGTTGGCAATCATAATGGCTATTTTTATTTTAGAACTTGCTGCTCTAAACAAATCAATCGATCTGCATTGATACCAATCACGTAGATTCTTTAACCATGAGTTCTGTCTTCGGCTAACAGATCTTCTTCCTTGAATCTTTCCCTGTATTATGAGTTAAAATTTCATATTTTGGTCCCCTCATCACATGGCCTAGGTATTCCAGTTTTCTGGTTTGTATAGTGGTGATTAGTTCTGTTTCTTTACCAACCCTCTCCAGTACTTCTTTATTTATAATTTTATCAGTCCATGATATTTTCAATACTCTGCGGTATAACCAGAGTTCGAAGGCCTCGATTCTTTTTAAATTACATTTTTTTAATGTCCAAGTCTCAGCTCCATAATTCTATTGAAAATATATAACAGCGAATGGTACATAGTCTGATCTCCAAATTTAGATTTTTGTACGTTAGGAGTGGCTTCATTCGTATAAATGCTGATCTGGCAAGCTCTATTCGCCTCTTTATTTCTATAGTATGATCATTGGTTTCATTGATCAAAGTTCCCAAGGACTGATATTTTTCTATTTGTTCTATCACGTTACCATTGATTGTCAATAGGTAATGTATATTTTGTGGTCTTTTTGTAATTAGCATGTTCGTCGTTTTTTAGCGTTTATAGTAATTCCCATCTCAGCACTATTCATACTCAAGCTTTTGATAAGATGTTGTAGATCCTCTATACTCGTTGCTATGATCACAGTGTCGTCTGCATCTCTTAAGTTGTTAATTAATTTTCCGTTAACGGTGACTCCTGCTTCGATATTATTGAGCGTGTTTTGGAAAATTTCTTCAGAATATAAGTTAAACAAAAGTGGTGATAAAACACATCCCTATCTAACTCCTCTACAGATCCTCATTTCTTCTGAGTGTTGCCCATCAATTTGAACTATGGCACTTTGGTTCCAATATAATGTTTGCACTATATTTATGAATTTACTTGTTCATAAGTATTGATATTAGTTTTTCATGTCTTACTTTATCGAAAGCTTTTTCGTAGTCAACGAAGCACAAGTGTAGATCAACATTTATATTCCGACATCACTGAATAAATATGTTGATGGCAAATAGATCTTCTCGAGTACCTATTCCATTTCGGAACCCGAACTGCGTCTCGCTAATATCCTCCTCTAGCCTTTCATATATTCTCTTATGTATTATTTTTAGCAGAACTTTTGAAGTATGGCTCATGAGGCTCAGTGTTCGATAATCAGAATATTCTTTTGCTGTTTGTTTTTTAGGGATGGTTATAACTGCTAACTTCAGCCAGTCTTGTGGTATTATTCCCGTATCGTACACCGTGTTGAATAAATCTGCCAATACTTCCAAGTTATCCTCTTCCACTAGTTTTAACAGTTCTACTGGTATTTCATCTAATCCAGCTGCCTTATTGTCTTTAGAGTTTTTTGTGGCATATTTGATTTCATCTATCGTGATCATCTGTCCCTTTAAAGGATTTAATTCTTGTATTTTCTGCATTTCACCTCTTTCATCTTGGAAAAGTTCTCTAACGTACTCCTGCCATCGCCTTAACTTCTCCGGTAAATCTATTAGTAGTACTTTTTTGTCTGTTATGTGCCCTTGCTGCCTATTTCTACCCATTCCAGGCACTTCTCTATTTTTGTTGTACATATTTCTCATACAATATTTTGTTTCTAGTTCTTCTATCTCTTTACATTGCTTCACCAAATAGATTTCTTTAGCTGTTTTGATTTTTTCCTTAACTATTCGTTGTATTTCTTTATACTTCTGTAGATTTTTTCTTTATATTTCCTTCTTTCTTCCATCAGTAATAGTATTTCTTCTGTTATTAAGTGTCTTTTAACCTCTAACCTATGTTTTATTAAACTTTCTTGAGCTAGTTTCAGTAATGTGTTTTTAATATTATACCACTTTTTATTTACATCCATAATTTGTTTGTTGTCAGTTAGTGTTTTTTGCATATTTACATTCACATTATTTCTTAATTCGTTTTTAATTTCTTCGTTTTGTAGCATTCTTACGTTAATTTGTACGGCCGGAAAGGGCCAAATACATAAAATTATCCCCTACTACAAAACTATTTTTGTGGGTTTGGGACTGATAAATTTCACGTGAAAGCGGGATTGCAGGAAGGCTCGGTACTTCTTATCTATTCTCATTAGTTTTGGATCAAATAACAGCTAAACTGCAGGGTAACATTCCGTGGTGCTTAATGAATGCTGATGATGTGTTAGTAGGAAATAGTGAAAGCGACTTAGAACGAAAACTAGAACAGTGGAGACAAGTTCTTGAGGAAAAAGTTTTAAAACTTAGTACGACCAAAACAGAGTATTGATTGACAGAGTATGATCATTTAAAGATGGAGTAACTACATTAAGATAGACTTGCATCCGCCACTATTTCATTCCAAGATTTACCTAACAAATGCCGCTAAAATGAATCCATTAAAATATGAGCTACGAAACTTCATCATAATTTGTAATTTTGATTAATTTTGAAACCTGTAATTTTTTCAAAATTATTGCTTACAGAATTTTTGGCACATCCTATACATACCCTCACCAGTTCATGAAGTGTATGATATCAAAGCTAGCTGCAAGTTTTAATAATTAAAGCACTGTTACCTATACTAAAATACCACAAAAGCAACGGTCGTGAGAAATGGTTTTAAAATGCACAGTTACAATTAAAGCATTGAAAAAAACTGATGAATGTCAAGCTCTTTCACCACAAGACTTTTTGTTTAATTTTTATGATGCGCAACAAATAACAAAAAAATCAACGCGTTGCCACAAAAATATGTAAAGGTAAGAATGAAACCTTGACATTCTCTCAGCGAAAAGCATTATAGCCAAAAGCTACCTAAATATCTAAGTTCTAAGCTACTTTTAGTAAACACAATTGGTCATTTTTATAAATTATCATTACTAACCCTGCGATGTATCCGGTGGTTTAATAATTGAAGGCAAAGGAATTGGTTGAGCAGGCGATACTGTTAGTGATGATGGCAGACTAGTAATGTTTAATGTTTTCATTAAGGCGTCCGTTTGACGCTTCTCTTCCTCGCCGCTCGATTTCATTTGTTTACTCTGTTGCTCTTTTTTCTTTTCTGCAAGTTTCTCTTGAAGAGTTTTACCACCTGCAGTTAATATATGTTTAAAAATATCTATATTAACTCTTTATAGTTTTAACAAAATTATGCAAATATATTCAATATCTTTTTACGTTGTATAAGATTTGATGTCTTACTGATAAGACGTTGGTGGGTAGACGAGAACTCTAAGATTTAACAATTTAAACTGTATTACATACGATATAGATTAGGGCTAATTATGAAAAACATATAATGAAGAATCCTTTAGAAAAAGAGAGATAAACAACAAAGAACAAAAAAATATGAGAAAAAGTATTTAATCTACACTAGAAAATAAAGGAAATGACTGGAATCCAAAGGAAAAATAAAACAGGATTGCATAAGAATACAGACTGACAAAATCTCAAAAGAGTCACTGAACTGGCATTAAAATGCAACGTCGGGAGACCATGGGATTCCTAACGAATTACTTAAGCCCACAAACCACAAATTAATAATTATGAAAATATTGCTGGTGTGAGCACATATTCATGAATGTTAGGGAGAGTCATACTCACAATATGTGTTAAGTTCTTGTTAAGTTGTTGTAGGTATTTATTAAAACAAAGGTTTGGCGACCGGTTCCGCTGTTTACAAGTTGTAGTACAAGTAAAGGCTGAAATAAATGATATATGTATGTAAACCAGTGTGTATACAGCCAAAATACATTTAAAGTAGTAACTAAAAATATATAGGACTTAGTTAATAGTGAATTATAAAAAAAAAATAAAAGGTGGTCAGCAATATAAAACATCAATTAACATAAAAGTGGTATAAAATAGTATAATTGATACAAAAGTAGTTAGCTATGTGAAGTCTGTTTCAAAAGAACCAGCTTTAGTCTGATGTTAACTGGTGAGCTGAGTTTATTGGAAGAGCTGAGTTTTGACAAATGTTGCCTATTCATTCTGTTGTATGCAACTTATGTATATATTTAAAAAAAAATGGAGGACTTTGTAAAAAGGCATTAAAATTCGTATTAAAATATTTTTTGGTTAAGGTGGTTGATTTCTCTTTGGACAAACAAATACACGAACACAAACACATCAATGCGTTATTATCTATAAAATAATATCACATTTGATAATGATATATGCGCTTGTGTTCGAGTGTGTGTTTGTCCAAATAGAAAACAACCAGTTTAGCCAAAAAATTTTTTAATACATATTTTAATGCCTTTTAACAATGTCCACCAAAATTTTTGGGAAAGGCATACATAAGTTGCATATAAGAGAACGCATAGGCAACATTTGTCAAAACTCAGCTCTTCCAACAAACAGCTGAGGTTATTTACAGTGGCTCAGTCCAAGTAGCCTGAGCGCACGGGTATGCTCTGAAATAAATATAAGTATTATCTAACTAATGAAAAACTGATATAATTCCTTGTACTGATATGTAAGTAGCAATATATATTTTTTCTATTAAATATAAGAGAACTACGGAATGTATACACCAGTTAACATAAGACTGATGCTGGTTCATTTGAAACACACTTCACATTATCTAGCTAATTATCTATCAATTTTATACTATTGATAGACTTTTATACTTTAATTGATACTATTACCATGTTAATTGATATTATATCTTGCTGACCACCTCTTATCTTTTTATATAATTAATTATTAACTAGCTCCTATATATTCTTAGTACCACTTTCAATGATTTTTGGTTGTATATATGTGGCAGCCAGGTGGTTATAGTAACCGGTCGATTAAACAGCTAGCCCTTTGATTGAATAACGTCACTCAATCACCCGTCCAGTTATTTTGTCGAATTTTTATGCAATTAAAAAGTTTAACGACATGGCTGATTGAAAAGCCGCCATTTCATTCACGTAATTTCTTTCTTGACCACCGCGCCGCTAGTAGCACCAATTAACTGGTTGAAAAATAATCATTTGATTGGAATGACGCCATTCAACCGAACGACTAGCTATTAAGTCGAATATTTGAGATAACATTCAAAAGTGATTTAACACATTGTTTACAATATGGTGGCAACCCCTGTTGTTCCTGTTTAACGGTTGTGAGTTAAAATGATAAAAAGAAATCAAAATTTTTCAAAACACAAAAGTTTTAGTGTTTTGATAAATCAGAGATAATAAAGTTGGTTACGAACAATTAAACTGAGCTCAAATTTAAAAAAAGCTTTGAAAATAAACTGACTGATCATGAAAACTCCCATCAATGTAATTATTGTCATTTTATTATTTTTACCAATAATTTTATTATTTTAACCAATTAACAATACTGTTACATAAGTCATAAACGACAGAATGACACGTTTGCATTATTTATTCTACACTGAAAGAAAAGGCCCCTGGCATTTTACAATCAGAAAAAGTAATTTCTAATAAATATACAGTATCAAAAATGAGTTGATAGTTCACAACCTTAAAATTTTCTGCTGAAAAATTATTATTTTCTATTATTTATTTTCAGAATCTTCCCGAAAACCTTGGACTAACGAAAGAATCCCCGAAGAAATATCTAATGTAAAAAATGCGATGATGCGATCATTACTAACAAAGAAAACAGGACTTCTATATCTCATTATTGGCTATCAAAATACTATTTCATGACAGTAGGCAATGAAGAACGCATATTCAAAAGACAAAATCCTAAAGATCATGCAATACAAATTATACCCAAAGAGGAATATTTTCATATACTAAATACTGTACATAAATATTGTGGGTATGGAGGTCGAGACAAAATAATGTAGGTATAGTCTTAAGAGCCGATATTATATAGCAAAAGAAAGCTGTTGAAATATTTTTCACTCTGTACCATATGCAATAATAAGAGAAATTATCACAGAAAAGGTATAGTCACACAAGGTATAGATAATATAATACGATATAGAATATAATACCATACAATACAATATAATACCATATTGAAACCAGTAATCGTCTATGGCTCAGAAGTGTGGCAGTTATCACAAAAACTTAAAGGTAACCTATTGGCAGTTGAACTGGATTTTTGGAGGAGAGTAGCGGGAAAGTCTAGATTAAAACATGTGAGAAATGAAGACATAAGTAATCAAATAAATGTACAAAGATCAATTATACAAGACATAGAAAAACAACAACTGACATGGTACGTATATGTTAGACGTATGGGGGAAGAAAGACTACCAAAAAAAATATTAGAATGGGTACCACTAGAGAAAAGAAAACGAGGACGACCACCAACAACCTGGATGCAAGGAATTTCAAAAGCAATGTCAGCAAGAAATCTATCTGAAGAAGACAGGCTTGGCGAACGGGAACCCAAAGGCGGATTATTACGCTATGAACGCATAATATTCGCCATCGGGACAAGATTAAAAATCTATTAAGTCATATATATATACATATATATATATATATATATATATATATATATATATATATATATATATATATATATATATGACTTAATAGATTTTTAATCTTGTCCCGATGGCGAATATATATGGCTGCTCAATTTCCAACATAATGCTACAGAATTTTTGCACCTTCTTCCAGTGAAAACTAAAATGGCGAGTGAGGTAGCAATAAAGCTTATGGATATATTTTTGATTTTTGGTACTCCATATATTTTACAATCTCACAATGGATTACAGTTTACGGCAAAAGTGATAGAACTGGTTGCACTCTGGCCTGATTGCAAAACTGTACATGGTAGCCCAAGGCGCCCTCAAACTCAGGGCATCGTTGAACGTAGCAACCTGGACGTGGACAACACAGTACGTTCTTGGATGACGGACAAAAATTCGACCAAGTGGTCTATAGGTTGTTTGTTTTACTATAAGTTGGTAGTACCAAAAAAATTCATCATTTCAGCGAATCATCGGGAGGTCTCCTTGTAAAGCATTGTTTGCTAGTGATCCTAAAGCTGGTTTAAAAGGTACTTATAACCTCCAAATTGTTGATGAACATTGAAACAGAGGAACAGTTACAAAAAATTTAAAAATGGGAAATGTGACGAAAGTACTGAGATACAGCATCAGATTTTAAACACTGAGAGATCGAATGTAGCATGGAACGTTGAAACTCAAATCATAGAGACATTACTCAAACAACCTGTGAATTGTGAAATCATTAATACTGCTACGAATCTAATAAGTAACAATGTTCATTTAGAAATTATAGTGGCTGAACCTAGTTCCTCAAATCTAGGTGACAATTTCTCTACAACTGTTGATACTAATAACACTGAGGAAAAATGTAGTGAGTTAAAGAGGACTGAGTACATTGAACCGATTTGTGTCACATTTCATAATCCTACCACTAGCGCCTATAGCTGTAAGTCTTGCAATAATCATGTTCATGTCACATCATGTCGATTGTCTGTAGTAGGAGAGTCTGTACTATTTCAGAGAAATGAGGCCCACAAAAGTTTAAAATGTGCAGACGAAAAAATGGTTGAGAACGTAACAAAAAAAACTAACACCTCTACTTATTGGCAGTAGTGTCCTGATAAGTGAACCGAAAGTGAATCGTGGACCATTGGACATCAAAAATATCAAAGTAAAAATTGTATATTTTAGAAATGTAGTTTATAGAATAGGGACAAAAACAGGAACTATTAAAAATTGGTTTGTGTAACTAGAATTGCACACGTCCACGGAAAACTATGATGATGAAATTTTAGATACTCCTATATCTTTACGGGAAGCGGTGACTATAAATCAAAGCTTGGGTGGCAAGGTTTTCAAAAATGTTCATGTAAACCAGTACAGAAAATGCCGTACCATGAGATGTACCTGCTTCAAGAAAAAAGATCTTTGTGGATCTAAATGTCATAGCAGTTTAAGTTGTGTCAATAAATGATTTAAATGTAACATGAAAATTATTAATAACCACATCTGTGAAGTAAATAACATCATTTTCTAAGTTAAGACACCATAACACGTTGTCCAATTAAATGAAAGTGCTAGACGTGCAACTACATGACTATTTAAATTAGCTATTTGATTACAGAACTGATCGTTTTCTAGCTGAATTGCTAAACGTT